TCCATCATTGATCCGGGCACAGAGCAAGATCCTCCTTCTCCTGAGAGCACTTCTGTCAAAGAGTACAGGATGGAAGGGCCATCTTCATTTTCAGAAGACATCCTGTTGGCCACACGGGCGCAGCACACTGAGGAGCAGGCAGGAAACGGGAAATTTGAAGCATGCAAGGAATTCAAAGACCTGCAGACTTCCAAGGATTCCATGGGAGCAGAGGAGGACTCGGAGTTTCCTTCCACCTCGATTTCAGCGGTGTTATCTGACCTCTCAGACTTGAGGAGCTGCGATGGTCAAGCCTTACCAACCCAGGACCCTGAGACTAGTTTAGCAATCAGTTGTGGCCATTCCAGAGGACTTTTTAGCCACATGCAGCAGCAGGACATTTTGGACATCCTGTGCAGGACCATTGAGTCTACAATCCATGTGGTCACACGGATATCCGGGAAAGGCAACCAAGCTGCTTCTTGACATTAGATGGAGCATGTCTGCTTTTAAGTCTTTTTTTGTTTTTTAAACTCCTTCTTCCCCTCCCCCCCCTCCCCCCAAATGCTGTTTGTATAAGTTTTGCTTATTTCTGTTTTGTGCTTCAGTTTGTCCAGTGCTCTCTGCTTGAATGGCAAGATAGATTTATATGCTTCCTTCTTGGTCAGGCAGAACTCAAGATTCTTTTTTTTAAATCTTATTTTATTTTGCATCTCCAGTACACTTTCTTAAAGGGCAATCAGATAATGGCTATGTTTTATGTAATTAAGAGTTCACTGTAGTGGCTTTCATTTAATATGGCTGTCTGGGAGACAGGGTCACTTGGCCCTGGCTGATGTAATTTAAACTTATGGCATTTTTACTGTGTATAATATGGTGTCCTCTGTGCCAGTTTTGTACCTTATAATCGAGGCAGATTGCCTCAGATCGCTGTGGTTCTTATTATCAAAATTAAGTTTACTTGTATACTAAACAACCACAAGAAATTTGATTCTGTAAAGAATCCTCTTTAGCTGTGGCCTGGCAGTATATATATGGTGCTTTATTTAACAGAATACCTGTGGAGGAAATAAAGCACACTTGATGTAAAATTAATTGTTTTATTTTTATTGACATGATCAGTTGCTATTCTGTGCACTTCATTAAACTGATTGTGATGACTTTTCTCATTTGTTTATAAGATGTTGCTTCAGTCTTTGGATTTCTCAGCAAAGACAACTTCCCAAGTGAAACAGCTGCAGAGAGAAATGATGGGCAAATGTACAGAATTGATGTAAATGTTGGTCCTGGTCTGGTTTATTGTGCAGGAATGTTCATCACACAATGGAGAGGGAATGGTGATGGGTTACTGTTTTTCCCACACTGTTAGAACACGAATTGCTGTCAGAAGCCAGCAGAACTTGACATTTCCCTAATTTAACCTGTGTTAAATGACATACATTTTTCTCCTGCACCATTGGCAGACTTCCTCTCTTTTTTTCCCCTCTGGGCCCTGCTCTATCAGGCTGTGCTCCTTCATGTTCTGACAGCTTCTGCACCCCTGAAATGCTGGAACGACTTTATCATCTTGCCTATCACATTTCCTCCTGTTATTTCTGAGCAACATCCATTTCCTATATGACCTTTTGGACTGTCAGTGATACTGGTTTTAATATCTGATTAAACTCCCATTTTCAGCTCAATTTTCCAGTTGCTTAGCTCATTTCTTTTTCTACTGTCTTCCAAATACATCTATGTTTGTCTTTTTTTCTTCCAAATTCTTTCACTCTGTCTACCATTTAATGCAGTTTAGCATAATTTGTTTCTCCTTGATTCTGTTATGTGATGCTCTGAACTCTCTTTGAATCTGCTGTTTTTAATCTGTAATTAATAATTCATTAGATCTTTGCCTTTTATTCCTGCATTTACAGACACTGTTGATGCTGGTGGGTGTGTAAATTGGTCTCCTCATTATTCAGACATGAAGTAATGATGTTTTTTCTCTTTTTAGGAATAATTTTATAGCCCTTTCTGATCAGCTTCTCCACAGATTATAACTTCAGAAAAATCATCAACAGCTTCTAGTCACAACTTCTACAATCAGAATTCATCTGTCCACTCTTCTGCCAAGGCTACTGATTTATGGTTGGGTCAAGGTGAAATCTTTGAGCTGCAGCAGTCATTGTAACCCTTTGGTGAGTAATTTCAGTTATTAATTACTTGTATTAAGAATGGGCAGATTTTTAGTATGTTGTCAGACTTCAGCTTCCAGGTATTGCCCTTTGTTGGCTTTAGCATCCACAGGATGAGATCATACCCATAACTGGTACTCAAACGTGCCATTCTGTCTTTCTGGGATGGTTTTGATCTCATTTTGAAGTAGACTGACTATTGAATTATTTCATAAAGGATACACACATACACTATTTACTGTGTCAAGATTACCAGAAGTATGATTGTTCTTACTGCCCCTTCCTTATATTACCTTCCAGTTTCCCCCTTGAGTATTCCTGCAATTGTTATTGGTAATTTTTTCCCTGTATTGTTTTCTAAACAAAAGCAAGCAGTATCTGCACAGACTTGTCTGTTCTTCCCCATCCTGTGTGTCCCTCCTTTTCCATGTTCTGTAAGCCATTATCCCTGCCACAGTATTCCCCCTCTTAGACTTGAAATCAGTTTTGTGGTTTGTCTTTCTTTGCCTTCAAGAATGCCACTGAAAAGCCTTTAATCCCAAACCCTTCAATCTTTAACTGGCTTCCTCAGTCTCTTACAGCTTTTTCTTCGAGGCTTTATCCCCTGTCTCATTTAATTACTTATTTCCTCCAGGAAGTCCCACCCCTCATTTAAAATTAAGCTTTTAAATACCTTCTCCTTCCACTGTCCTCACTGTTCAGCCCTAACAGCCTCTTGCTCTGGGACTCAACTGTTGAGCTCTCCTTTGTACAGGCAGCACAATCCTGATGCCAGTGAAGTTCCAGCACACTGTGGTGCTGGGAAGAGCCAGGAATGCTGGTGAAGCAAAACAGGAAAATGTCCTTTTTCCCTGCCTGCAAGGGCAGTCCGTCCCCATGGGTGTGAAGCTCTGCCCCTTGCTCGCTCTGGGCTGGCCCACCAGCAGCACCACAAGGTAAGGGAAGTTGAACGCCTTTCACGTGCAACTTGAGACTACTTTTACATGTGTTCAGACTGAGAGCTGTGCAGACACAGGAGAACAAGAACATCACTGAGGGCATGTCACCACCTCCCCTTCAAGAGAAAACAAGGATCACTGGGGCTGTTCCTTCTCAAACAATCCTCAACCTCCCGCAGTTTTCAGGGGTTGTGGCTGCAGCCAGATGAGCAACGCTGGAAACACAAGTAAGTAATCTGTTTTTTAGCTTCTGGCTAGGTGGAAGGAGCCAGGAAAATTCAAGACTAGCAAACCTCCGAAGTGGCAGGTACTTGTGATCCTGAGATGGAAGGGGAGGGTTTAGTCGGGTGAGGCACAGTTCCCCAGATACTAGGGCTGTAGTTTCACTCTTTGAAGAAACTTGGAATTGCATCACAACCTACTCTCAGATCCTGAATCTGTTAGCTGATCTACACACAAAGCTGCTTAGCCTGACCTCTGCCTTACACCTACGTTTTCTACTTTTACTTAAAGATTGTCCCTTTGTCAGCCAATACACAAAATCATTTTTGTATTCAAAATGTTTGGCTCTTTGTTCTTGAATATTGCTCAAAAATATAACTGTATTTTGAGCATTCAGAAAAGAAAGATGCTCAAATACAACATTTCTCAAGAGGGTGTCACCTACCCTCTACCTGGGCATGTAAACAACAAGCAGCACAACAATTAGTAACCAGTCTGTGCCTCTGACCTGTCACTGAGGTGTTCTGTTCCTGTTCCTACAACCCCTCACCTCAGTTCAAGGAGGGTAACCGACTGCAAACTTTGCAGGGCAACCCTGGCCTATAGGAAAGGAGCAGCACACATCTGTATCCCCTCCACGATGGAAGTTTATGGATGGTAAAGTTGCCAGATGTTGGCAGCATCCTGTAAAAATAAAATATATGGCACTTAAGTTCTAGAGAGACTCGTTTAGTGTGGCAGTACAAGTTAATGGAGAAAATAAACTGCATGTCAGATCACATCTTTTATTGAGCCAAGCATGTTTTTCCAGAGGCAGCTTGCCCTGTTGTGGTCAGTTTGTTGCAAATTGCATACTTCATTTGTACACTTCTTATAAAGCACTTGAGAACTGTTATCCTTGCTCACCTCAACATGGTTAATTAAGAATAACAATTTGATACTTTCAATATCCCAACTATGCTCCCGTGAAATTTCTCTAACAGTTGTTCTATTTAAGTCGAGCTATTTGCAGAGGGCAATATGTGGAAGGAAGGGTTACAGAACTGCAAAAAAAAAGCACTAGTGCTGTTTGTTTCTTTCAAAATACATCTCACACCAAGGTCAAATAGGGGAGTACAGTGCATGCAGACTTTGTAATTACATGATATTCATTATCTTGCCCTAAAACTGCAGTTAGAAAGAAATTCTGTCTGCAGTTCAACTAATCTATGAAGTATTTAAAGAGGCTGTGATACCCCCATTTCCTGGAAGATCTAACAGATCAGCAGTTTTAGAATCCCTTTCAGCTCCCCTGTGCTGGGACCCACATCTCCTAGAGGGATTTAATTTTACCACTTGATAAAGTGAATATTAAGGAACTGGAAATGCTTCATATCGATTCCTGTAGTTTACCTCTACCACTGATGGGAAGTGAGTCCTCCCTACCTCTGGCAGCAGTGCTCACTGCAGCTGAGGCATTATTCACCTCTGAAATTGCAGGCAAGCAGAACACACATCAGTTTCCCCAAGTAAAGCTGCTTATAGTCTGACTTGTCACCTCCTTCACTAAAAAATCCATAAATATTGGTTAAATTATATACAGTGTCATAGAAGTGGGTCTTTATTTTTCCCACAAATAAATTATTTGTTTTTAAAAAACCAAATGTTAAAGTATAAAAAGTAATGCCCTAACAAAACTATAGCACTCTCATCATTCCATGTTGGCTTTGGATTGCTGCAGGAAACTATGTATTTCTTCAAAGTATTGCTTCTTCCAACATTGTCTTGTACTCTCTTCGTTGGAGACAGGAACTCCTTTGCACTCTAACTGCAGTTCTGTCTGAGCCGACAAATCCTTGAAATTCAAGGCAACTGTTGCATAATGTTCTGAGGGGAACAAAATAGGACATTTCGGTCAACGTTTTTTTAAAACATTACATTTGTTGTTGCTGATTTCCTATCTGCTTCTGCCTGTGTCTTTCCACAGCCTCCAGCTGCTTTGGCCCTCAGGCTGCTCTCCAAAGAACACAGGCCCAGAGAGGTCCTGCCAGGAAGGCTGCACCTGCCAGGTTTGGTCCTTCTCCCTGCACAGGAGGCCTGGAATAGCAAAGGTCCTCAAAGACTCACCATCAGGCCAGTTCCTACATCGCCACTTCAGGATGATCCTTTGGCTTGGAACCTGCAAGAAAATAGGAAGGTTGTTCTCAGTAGCACTGGAGATAATTCCAGTTATGACCACTCAGTGCTAATTCTCTCCTGCTAACTATTATCTTATGGAATAGTAGACACATGCATGTAAACAAGACTAAGATTGGGAGCTGGTTTTTAAATAAACTGTTTTCATGGCATTCTCACAGCTTGCTGCATTCCACTGCTCTGTCTCTGCTATGGGAGAAGGTCAGGCTCAGTAGTTACTGAACAGAAAACACTAATTTTCTTGCAGACCTTGAAAGAGGCACCAGGCTGAGCCCTGCTGGAATTTGTAAGCATAGCAGAGTACACCTGTGAGTCCCTGTTGCACAGTCCAGCCTGCTTGAATGCACAGGTTAGGCACTTCTTTCTGCACAAACACTGCTGCCAGCCTGCCACCAGCTTATGGGAGAGTTCGGATTCTGACTGTTGCATCTACATAGATCCTCATCTCATAGCCAATCCTCTGCCTCCACATTGACATGTTCCCACTGAAGTCAGCCTCAGGTTGCTGCATGTGGATGTTTCCACACTGAGGCCTTTCTAAAGTCCACAAAAGTTTTATTAGGCTGCACTGAGAATCCAGTTTTGCAAAATTAAGTTGCCCACGTGTCAGTGATGCATCCAGCCTGTCATCTAGATGGTTGCACAATACCAACCAAATCAAAGCTTAGCAACTCTGAAAATGGTTTTTCAGAGGTTTCAGAAATTGAACTGAGCTATGACTATCACTTCATCCAGCTACCTGCAGAAGCATTCAGTCAGGGACAAGGTGACATTTGCCCTGAATGGAACGGAGAGAAATTCTCAGATTATAAGAAGAATTGGTACAGATTTGGGAGCTAAACCTTAAACCTGCTTTCTTAATCATAGTAAAGAAGAGCTGTGCTGAGTTTTGCCCTCCAGCACAGATCACTGAGTGTGGTCAAGCACCTGCTCTCTTGGTGAGGAAGAAAAATCACGTAACATAAAAGCAGTTTTTTTGACTTTGAAGTAGATGAACTGAAATAGGCATTCAAGAAGCTGAAATGTCAGAAGCTGAGGCTATTTTTTAGCTTGGAGTAGGAGCTAACACCTTTCCCCCCCATTTTTAAAGTTCAACGTAGAAGCTTTTTACCAGTTCGGTGTATTCACCGCTGACACAGCCCTCAAACATCTGAAGTTTGCCTCCTTTCTCAGCTTCCACCACAGCTGGGCCCTTGGAAAACTGCTGTATGAACTGCATAAAGAGAACACAGCACAGCTCAGTTACTGACATACACTGCACCACGTTGGGTTTGCTGAGAGCTGGGGTAGGAGCAGGGCTCTCTGAGGTGACACAGCATTTAAGTGCTGAGAAACATGCAGTGGTGAACACAAGGACCAGTAGACTCTGGCCACACCATACACATACATAGAGAGAACTGGCTATTCCTAGACTGGGAAATGGAGCAGCAGCTCTAGGAGGGAACACAAGAGCCATTATTGCTTCCTGGGGGGGTAACATTGGGATTGTAATTTACCAGCCCTGACTCTTATGAAAGACACAACCCCAAATTAGTAATTTTGTATTTCATACCCCGTAACACTATCATCATGTCCAGTAATTAAGCTAATTAACCTGTAAGCAGTAGATAGCAGTGCCCTTACTGAGCAAGCACTTCAGGCTTCTGAACAACATATAGCTAGATAAACAACTGGCAAAAAAAGGTCTAAGGCAACCTAAAAAGCTCTCAATAAAAAGGCAGAAGTGGAATCTGTACTTGACACATTTGTAACACAACTGTTCAGCTCTATCAACATCCACATCAAGTGTAATGCCTGCTGAATTCTTTCTGTAATTCCTTCTCCAGCTGAAAGTATCCTTCACCTCTTTTGTTGTGAAGATGCTATAAAGTTCATCAGCTGGAGAGTTGAAGATTTCCTTCATAAGTATCCTCACGGTTGGAATTTTTACTCCAACTGTATCCAGAGACTGTGGTGAAACAGAGTCCTGCAAAGCAAAAATATTCAGGTGAATGAGTACAAGATCTTAAGACTTAAAAGTTCTGGCATGGCAGAACAGTTGTTACCTGCACCTTCTCAAACACACACTGTTGTGTATATATGGTAATTATACAACATATGTCCATATTTATTTAACAGTATTATTAATCAGGAGGCAGTAAATTCAATGAAAAAAAATAATCAAGCATACTTGCATGGTGTTCCCACTTGGTTTCTGCTCTGTGTTCAGCTCCTGACCAACAGGAGCTTTTGTTGGCAGAATCATTCCCAAGGTAAATTCTGTAATGAGGAGAAGCACTTTTCAGTGTCAAACTGAGCTGCACAACCACCTTGACATTCAGGTACACAGTAAAGATTACTAAAACTGTGGAGAACAGATAAAATTGTGCAGAGTGGGACATAAAACTCCAGTTTCCCCACCTGAGGCCTGAGAGTGACCTCTGGTCAGTGTGTGTAACAGCACAGGTTGGGTGGCTGCAGAGACTTCTGGACATGGTCATATTTGATAGTAATGAAGATTCTGAGCGTCAGGACTAACTGATTTCATCTCAGCTGGTGACAAAAATAAAACCACTACAACTGCAAGGACTTGTCAATATACGACCAATCTGTTCAGGAGAGATCCACACACAGAAACACATCTTGTGCACTGTTTAATTACCTGTTTTAAGTGCTTTCAGATAGTCTCTCAGGGCCTCTCTGACTTTTGTGGTTCCTTCAGTTCTCATCAGATCCTTCAGAACATCTCCTTCCCCTTTCTTTTTGCTCACATTTATCTAGAAACAGAAAAATGTCAAGATTACAAGATGGAGACTTTTTAAGTTCTTAGGGTTTGGGGGTAGTTTGTTGGGTTGGGTTTTGTTTCTTTAAGACTACAACAAGCAGAGTTCTTCTCAAAGTTGTAGCTATTACAATGTCACAATAATTAGCAAAGCAAATTGTGCACATTCCTTGTTGGTAAATTTGAGCACAGAGATAAGTCATTACAAGTATAATACAGGAAAACATGAAATAAACTATCCAAGTGTAATTATCCCACTTAATGACAGGATAAATCAAAATATGATGCCTGTATGTTGATTAATGCTTTATTTAAGAATTCTGAGCCTATATATCCATACCAGTATTTCACACCTACCTCTGTATCATCTACCTCATTTTCTTCTGACAGGTTAGGAATTTCAACAGATCCCTTATGTTTCTCACCAGATTCTTTCACTGTACCTGTATTAACATAACGAATTCTTAAATGCATTATTACAAACTATTTCCCCCACAGCAAGAGTTTTATGCTTGGAAATTAGTTGTACAAAGTGTTCCTTGAAGCAAGTTGCCTCGAGGCTGATTAAAAGACCTAAACAGCAACCTAAAGTCTCAAAGGTGCCACAGTGTTTCCATAGTGAGCTCTGCTCCAAGCTGTGTTCTCCTGGACAGGTCATTAAGGGATGCACTCCCCTGCAGCTGTCACCTGCTCTAACACTCACCCTCACAACAGCTTACACCTGCCAGCACTGAATCTGGAGCTAAAGGGGGAAAATCACCTCCTCTTCCCCTAAACTTGCCTGCTCTGTATTTAGAAGCTTCCTGGAATGCTAACTCTACCTTCTCCAAAGTATGTAAAGCTCCATGAAGCATACATGTGTATAATGCAGGTGTATAATTGAAATATTCTTTAAATAGGCAATTCACATGCACATTCAGAGCACTAGTTCTTACTCTTAACCACTTCACAGTTGCTGTGTGCAGCAGAGAAACTCTGCAAGGAGAGGAATTATGCTCCACTTCTGCATCCTTTGGGGCAAAAGCCCACCCCCCTGAGGGACTCAGCCCTGTGAGCTGTTCTGGGATGTGCGCCCTGTCCTGCTCTGCCTCAGATCTACAACTGAAAACAATTCACTTAAGGTCTGATGCTTTTGTTCATTACACAGAAGACTCTCCCCCCTTGCCTGGCAAAAGCATTTTGTTACTTAAATTAATTCATTGTTTAGATCGTATTAAAATCTCTTTAGAAAGCAACAGCAGAAACATGCAGTTCCATCCACTTAGTGTCGTAACAGACAAAACCCAGCAACAAGCTCCACCAGTCTATCAGCAAAACCCTGAATACACAACCCACTGTCGAACACAACTGCAGAATGGGAATGATCATGAAGGCAGGTGCAGCATTTCTCTGGATTCTCTCACCTTCAAAGGAGCTAACTCAATCCTGCTACTACTTAGTATCACTCATTATTTTGTCCAGGACCCTGACACAAGCACCATGCTACTGTGGGGCACTCTGCGTGGATATAACCCAATGTCAAGATCACAGTGAGGGACACGAACAAATGCTCAGGTGTTTCTTGACAAGGCACAGACTGAAGGACTGTTAGTTACACAAAGTGCAAAAATCCCTCCCCAGTCAGGCTCTGAGGCAATGAAGCATTGCACAATATGCAAAGTCTGTTAATCCACAATCAGACAACCACATCCACACAGGGAAAAGGCTGAACTAGACCTCTCTGGGGCTTCTCCAAGTCTCCCAGAAGAACCTGTCAGCTCCACTAAAAGCCATGTGAACTAGTTAATTTCACCCTTAAAATACTTCTAGGCCCAACACAAATCACACACAGCCATCTCAGTGTGCTCCTCACTGCTCTCTCCAAGCACCAGGACCACTACAGGAAAACCACACAACATGGTCTCTGCAGACAGCAAAGCTACTCTTCCCCAGAAAGGAAGTGCAAGCATGCAGGAAGAAGTTTAGGGGAGCAAAACACAAACCTGACTTCTATCCAGCTAATTCTATTAACAATTTGCACAACTCACAAATAACACAGCTATGGGATCTGTGCTGAGTCCAACCAAAAAAGACCAAAGCAAAGTCCAATCTGAGCAAACAGAGCTGGTTGGTCAACATTACATAGCCAGAACGCTGGAGCAGCTTTGCATTTTTAGTACCACTGTAACGTAAACAGAACTTTATTACCTTTTTATGAAACAAATTATTTGTTGGAATCCCATGGGACTTCAGTAACAGACCTAAGAATAAATCACATTTTGTTTCCTGCCAGTCCAGTATTTTAGAACGGTAATTATGGACTACATGTCTCAGCAAGACCTACCTATAACACAATACTGAACTACCTTCTTTAAAAGGACAAGCACATTTTCATGAAACTTCCATCACAATGCAGAATAATCCATTAAAAAGCTCGTTACATCATCTACCCAACGACAGAACAGCCATTTCGCTCAACTTTAGTGCCATTAAGTACCCTCAGTTCCTCACTTTCTTCTCTGTAATCTAAATTGCTAAGTACAAAGTTTCCAACACAATTTCCCAAGCCAGCTACAAATTTCAGGACTTAGTTATTTGTCCCTACATATCTACATTTGAATCCTAGCTTGAAGTCCTAGCTATCCTGGAAGACTAGCAGAAGGAACTAGTTGCAGCAATTCGTGCTTTCAGCAGTTCAGTGTGAACTCTCGTTTCTAATTCTCAGTTCCCAAAACACACCTGATGGCTATCAAATTACAATAATCATCAGCCCCTAGTTGTGTTTAGACTTTGCCTGTGTAGTAGCCAACTTCAGAACTAAGCTCTCAAGGACATGATCCACAGCACTAAACTGAACAAAGCACCTCACACAAGCCTATGAACACTGACCAGCATAAAGACCAAACAGAGGAGGAAGAGTTTAGAAACAATCTCCCAAATCTCACAAACAAAACACTGTCTGCCCACTTCTAAGCTTTATACAGTGAAATAAACCAAACAACACTAAACTAACCTGTGTTTAAAACTTCAGGTAATTTTAGCCTCACTTAAAATAGTCAAAAAGCTGATTACAATCATTGTAATGGCACTGATATAAATTGCACAACAGAGTGTAATGTTTGCCTTCCTCTCTCTTAACATTTACATCACAACTCTAAGTACGTTCTTAGTTTAGCACACACTTGGAATATTTATAACTATGAAAAATAAACAACAGTACTTAAAAATTAAGTCCCCCTCCTACTGAGGGCACAGAAGTCTATTCTAAACCTGTTCTGGTCAGCAAAACCTCCTGCAGTTAACTCCTGAGAAACAAGGACATTATTGGGGGACGAACAGCCTGGCATTTAGCATTACAATATCCAGGGACAAATTCCCATGCAGGCACTTTCCATCAGCTCCTCCTGCTTCTTCCTCCAGTGCTACCAAGTTTTCGGCATCTGATAAACTGAAAGAATTCCTTAGTATCACCAAACAAAGAGCTTGTCAGGGGGCGAACCTCCAAGAGCTGGGACTGCAAATGGACACAGCACAACAAAAACGCATGGGCACAGCCCTCAGTATCTCAGATAAACAAGAATTATTTCTAGCTTATTTCCCAGTAAAGAGTTCTATCTGCATGTAATTTATTATCCTCGATGTAAACCATACTGAATTTTGGGGTACATCTGCAATTTCACGTTTCCTGGCCTCTCCTGCTCTCTGCTATGCACACGCAGGCAGCACAGGGCTGTAATCTGGGCACACTGGCAACCTAAAACAACCGACCACACTGCTGCAAGCAACCCCGTCTCACCACAATGCAGCTATTTACTTCTTGCAGGGCAAGATACGCCGATACGCTGCTAAAGCGGTGCTGAGAACCGTGCGGTGCAGAAAAAAAATCGGGTGAAGGGGGAAGAGCCAAGCTCGGGTTTCAAGGTTATTTAAAAAGGCGCATTTATACGGTTCGGGCCCACGTGGCTCCGGCAATCGAGCTACGATTTCAGCTCACTGCAGCTCACTGAGACATTGGCGTTTTCCCTTTCCGAGGGGCCAGCAGAGACCCCCGCGGCACCCGCGGGCCGCGGCCCTGCCCTCCCCGCCC